GGGCTGAAAACCCGTGTTATGAAAACTGCAGCAAAGGATTTTTGAGGAGGATCAGACACGAGCTGAAGAGCAGCTCCCTACATGGCTGCAACACAACCAGAAACTGTGCTCTGCAAAATAAAAACTGGGGGAAAGCCACTGGGAAAGCACTGGGAAGAAGCCATTGAGCAAGGAGCCCACAGCAGTGGGCAGGACACATGGCAAGGACAGGCAAGGTTTCCCAGCCCCCTGGCAGAGGGATGGATTGCTCTGCCTGGTGCCTTTTGCTTCCTTTGCAGGGAAGGAGAAAGCATCAGGCCTCCAAAACCAAGCCCAGAACACCCCCTCTGCAACCAGCCCCACACCTTGGGGACTGCAGATATTGAACTGTTTGTCACTCATTTCTGTGGTTGTTCAGAGACTGTTGTGGAACCTGCCCTCACCTTTCTGGGAAGCACCGGGGTGAGGAGCCTGGGCAAGTGGCCCAGGGCAGGGGCCTCTGCTGAAGTTAGAGGGAGCTGGCAGGAAAGCCAACATCCCTGCTGCCCTGTTTGAGGCTCCTGGAACCATCAGTTCAGTGGTTTTGTTCAGCCCTCAGCTAAGTGAACGTGTGGGCAGCTCGTGAGAGGCTCAGAGGTAAGAGCTGCTGTGAAATGCCACAGACACCACGGGGTCACCACCAGGTAAACACCATTGGTGCCACACAGACCAGGCCCTGCAAGAACCAACCACCCCAGCACCAGCCCCAGGATCCCACAGAGGGAGTCAGCAAGAGGTTGTCACCACCCTGGGAAGCCCAGAAGTGCTCAGGGTGGTTTGGCTCATTGCAGGGCACTGACAGCCCCCAGCCTCTACCACAGCTTCCCAGGAGCTTCCCCCATTCCCCAGAGCTCACCAGGAATTGCCCTTGCAGGATACAGGACTGGCCAGTGCTGCTGCCCAGCTCTTCTAATCCAAACAAGTGAGAAGTCAGATTCTTTATCCTCAATCCACACATCAGAAGCTCCATCTCCAACTCCTGAGGACTCTGCTGTGTTTAACAGCAGCTGCCCCATGGCAGTGACAGCCCCAGCCCCCTCCCAAGCTCCGTGGGAGCTGTGCTGGAGGTGGGAAGCAGCACATGGAGCAACCGGAGAACGTTTGCTTTGCGAGAGCATCAGGTCTCCTTTTGGTTCCTTCTTTCCACTTCTCCACATCAAGATGTGATGCGATTCCCTCAGATCCACACTGAGACACGACGACCAGTGCTGCTGTGGAGCTGAGGTCTGCAATTTTACTCCATCTGTCTGCCCTTTCTCTGGGAAACATCTGTACTGGCTGACAATTTCAACCCCATGGATTGGAAAATATTTAAAATTGACAACTGAAAAGTTACTAGATAAGAATCTTTAAAATTTATTGGACTAACTGTGTTACATTCAATATTTGATGTGTTTCTCCTGGACAAAGAATTGGCATAAATACAAACAAGCCTTTGTGTGCCTTCCCTAAACAAATAAGAGATAAAGTACTAGAGACAAGGGAACATAGTTCACATCTTCATATTTACATTTTGCCTTTACTTTACAACTTAGCGCCAGGAATATTTACAGAAAAATACAGTAAGAACAAAAAGATCATGTCTTGGCAACATACAGAAATCCAAATTGTATATGATTTGAAGCACATGATACCTGGCCTTCTAATTTCTAATTGCTCCTGCTAAAATCCATGTGGAAAAGGTCTGTGTTTGCCTTCAAAGACATCACTCAATTACACAATCATTAAGTTTGTCTGTTAGGTTAAAATTTCTCTCCATCTTTCTGGGTGTGCAGAACCTCTCAGGAAAGAGATGCTGTCACCTGTGGAGACCCAGCACATCCAGCCAGAGAAGCAGTGAGAGGCTGCTCTGCCCTCCAGCCTCCTGCACATGCTGCTCTCCACATGGACACCATGGTTTCCACAGGCACTGTCCTCCCCTCTCCTCTTTGCTCCAAGGCTGTAGTGCCCTTTTTTAAGTACCCTTAAGATGCTTTTCTTTAAAGGAGAGTCTTTATTAAGGTACTAAACCTTCTGCAATTTCAACATTGTGTTTAAGAAGGTGACAATGGTTCCCCCTCTTTCTGCCCTGTTAAAAGGATGCCATGATTCAAAGCAGAAATTATGAACCCAAACAGAAGGGTCTTAGGAAAAGAGCAAGTATCCGTTTAGTTATTAGGCCACATTTGCTACTCAGCTCCTGCAGCATGAAGTTCCCTGTGAGCTCAGACCAGGGTCACATCACTGGTGAAGTAAGTGGTCGGTGCTTGTCTCTCCAGTGAACAGGAATGCAAACCCAAGCCACCCAAGCTGTCAAGCTGAAAACTCAAGACAGCAGTTTGTAATGAAAAAAACCCCTCTGGAGTCTTGACTGACACGTTCTTTCAATGCCAACTGAAATAAAGCTCATTTGCTCTAAGCCTTTCAGAGGAAAAAGCTCAAGGCTGGACCCTGGACTAGCTGAAGTCAGTGGAGTTTGGTCACTGACTTGGACAGGACAAGGATTTCACACCCAAATTGGTGTTTTAGATTTTATGAAGAATTCTGAGACCTCTCCACATGCAGGGGAAGGAGGGACCTTCCTTGCAGGCACCTTCCCCCAGTACAGGTCTGCCACAGGCACTCGCTGCTGCGACCGGCACCCAAACCAAGTGGGATGGCAAAATATCTCTGTAACCTCAACCCTTCCATCCTGAGCTGTGACCTTCTGCAAGGTTCACCTTCCCAGCCAGAAGAACCCAACACTGACAGCAGGTCACACCACAGGCCTGGGATGGGTTGACCAGCCAGTGTTACAGTTCCATAGAGCTGCTTCCCCATGGGCTCAGCAGCCCCATGCCCAACAGTCACCAACAGTCTTTCAAGACTTCTAAACACTTCCATTGCTTTCAGGACTGTCACAGACCCAAGACTGTTCTTCAGCCAGGCAACAAACCATTTACAAAAGAGACCTTAAAGATGATCTAGTTCAAACACTTTTGGTCCTTGTGGAAAATACCCAGGGTTTCCCCAAACCAAAGGCACAGGTCTGTAGGGTGCTGGCTGTGCCCACATGCCTGAAAGGATTATTTTTGTAGCTCATCACTCCATAAGCCAAGGACTTTGTGTGTAACATACACTTAGCTACAGTGTGTGGCTTTTGTTGGTAGGTTATTGAAGATGTGCAGACATTTGATTGCTCAGTATGTTTATTTGTTACACATGCACTGGTCATGCCTTTTAAATCAGTGGACTAAGGTGTGTTTGGCCATTAATTAGATCCAATAGGTACATAAAAAATGTGGGTAAATTTAGTGTTCGTGCATTAAACTGATACTGGCAGGAGGCTGAAGCTGCCTCAGTTTCCCTTCACAGCTTTTCCAGTACATCCAGAGACTGCCTTGCAGCTCCTCCTGACATTTGCAACCTGGGCATCAGGAAACCTGGGCCAGTCATTGTGGTTACTTCTACAATGGTTTTCTTTATATGGTTTCATTCATTCTTTCATTTGTGACTCATCTGGATCAAAATCCAGAGCTCCTGAGTTGAGAGACCAGTGTGCTTGTCCCCTGCAACAAGCACATGTCACCTAAAGCCCCTTTGGTTGACATCCTGAAAGTCCTTCCATGTGTACTTTTAGGAGCCTGTGTTTCCACTAAGTCTTTGTGAAAAGACCCATGAAAAGACAGGATCAGGGTTTGTCCTTGGCAGGTAAGTTGTAATGACACAATTAAGATGGTTTCAGGTCAGAACTGTTGCAAAAAGTAAAACTCTGCAAAACTCTGGAGTATCAGAAGTACATGGTACTACTGCAATGTACATTAAAAAGCTAATAAAAACACTTTGGGAATAATATGAGGAGCTCCCCCAATTCCTGCTCATACTCTTGGTCTCACATCACCTCCTGGCTGGAAGGAAAAGGCCACGTGCTGCTGCCAGAGATCCCAAACTGCACCTCTGGGAGCACCAGTGATGATTCACACTGCAACAGGGCTGGGCTGCCCCAGGCTGGGCTCCCCCTCTGCCAGTGCCCACTGCAGCTTCCCTGCTCCCAACACCACATCTGCATTTGTAAACACCTTTTCCCAGCACATCCTTCAAGTCCTGAGCACAGGAAATCCACAGGCTGAAAACGCAAACCTCTGACCCAGGTGAAAAGGAACCACTGCTGCTGAGCACGAGAAAGCACCAGAGATTCCAAACCACTTTCAGCTCTAGCTCCAAAGGGGCTTTCAGGGATCAGCAGGTTCATGGGGAAAAAGAAGAATTCTTGAATTTTCTTTCTGAGCTGTTGTAGTCTGTTTAACAGGAGCTTCTGAAAAGTGTTACAGAAGCTGCGAAAACTGCTGATGCTATAAATACCAGGCAGGAGGCAGCCCCAGAATCTCAGATTTCAGTCCAATGGAAGGGAAGCAAGTTTTACACCTTTTATGGAAATGGTGAGTAGGTAACACAGACACTTCCAAATAAATTAACTAGTTGCATTAAAAAAAATAAATTTAAAAATCAAGGTGCTAAAATTATATGTGACATTTTGCAACAGACCTGAAAGTCACAACCTTGTTTTTATATAACCAAGAGCTGTTCTCTAGTAGTAACCTAGGTTGGAAAGTCAGGTAGTTTCAGGTGGTTGTTGCTGTCAGTGCCACAGAAACCACGCATGGCAATGGTCTCACTCCCAGCCACAGAGGGAACTGAGAAGCACAGGATCTTGGCTATGAATTCCATGACCTGCTATTTCCAAGAAATCTTCCTCCTCTTGCTTCTGGGACACATGTTACAAGCAGTGCAGGATCTTCTGTTGAGCTCTGAAGGGGGCTGAAAATGTCTTTGAAGTTCTCACAGGGACAGTTCATGCTCTGAATCTGCTCCCTCCTCCTCTGACACGGGTGTAGTGAGATGTCTGAAGGCAAGTTTGTTTGTACTTTGTTTCCATCTTTATATGCAGAAAGGGTTTTGTTCTGATTGTTTTCCTCTCACAGAACGAGACACTTACAGTTCTTAATTAATCTGGAATAAATGATTGGGTGAGGGAATTATGTTGCTAGCATCCAGGAAGACTGGAAATACATAATCTTCTGAAGGTAGGTGAGTTCAGTCAATATTCCAACTGAATGTTTTGGGTTCATTTCTCATTCCTCCCACATGGTATCTGCTGACTTGTGCTAGGATATGATTTCCTGAATTCCGGAGGGCTGAGGAAATTTGTTGTTGTTATTTAACCCTTTTCATTACTGTAGCCACCAAGCTCTGATCTAGTTGTCCTGGAAAGATAATTACCTAGGGGTTGCAGTTCTTGAGCCCAACCTCCTGGAAAAGTGAGGTATAAAACTCGGGCTCCAGCTGCCTGTTCCTGTACTTATGGACAATGTCTGCGATCTTCTGTTTTCGGCGGACGTGGGGGGGGTTGTAGGAATCACTTTCCAGCCTCTTTCTCCGACAAATATTTATTACTGTCTGCCTCACTAAGAAACCTGAAAAAGAAACAACATTGGAATCAAGTTTGTGCAAAGCCAAGCCTGCACCCTTCTGCTGGCTTTGCAGCTGAAGGCAATGTTGGGTTCAGGCCTATCTACGCTTATTCTTGTTGAACCTCATTAGGTTAATCTTTGACATCTTTTTTGATCCATTTTGATCCAGGTACACAGGAAAAGGAGGACAGCACAGACAGGTCTGCAGAGTGAGTTCAGTATTTGTACTGAACACATTAGAAAATGCTCAATTCTGTGGCTTTTATTGACTATCCAGCTTCTAAAACAGAAGGAACACACACAGCATGCCAGGACAGCCCAAAAAATTCAGCATCAGGACCCTCTGGCAGTCAAGCAGCTCCAGTGCTTTGGCTCTCCATGATCAACATTAGGGTCACATTCCTGGTCTCTTACCTAAATAACAGGCATTTACCTTCTCCTACCACCACTACCAGCTCCAACCCTTCACTTCCTTTCCCCTACGACTGCAGTGGAGCCCTGCCATGCCGAGGCTCAGTGCTGACCACCTGCTCCCTCTGCTGTTCCTGCTTCCTTCTGCTGCTGCAAAAGGCACATTTTTGTTCTGTCATGCCCAATATTTCTTCCAACAAAAGACTGTAGCCCATGTATTTTGCAGATAAATTATTATTTACAACAAAACAAAACATGAGCTTTCCTAAAAGTCTTTAGCTTACCAAGAGCTCTCCGACTGACGATCATTCCATCCACCAGTGGGATAACCATGTTGAATTTCCCAGTTGCTCCTTGTAGTTTTATCCTGAATAAGCCAGTGTTTAAGGGGTGGATGAAGATCACAGGAACTTCTTTCTCAGGAGTGGCAGATCTTAAGGGAAAAGCCACGAGTGTTAAATCAGTTTTATAGCACTGTTTCAATTAATGTACAGATGAGGAATGATCACTTATGAATGTTAAGAAATGTCTTGTGGCTGAACCAGTAGGACTTCTGTGCATCCTCTGGACATTGGAAAGGTTGTATCAACTGCACAGTTTCTATGATCTTCTGTCACCATAGAATTTGAGTCCTGCAGACACAACTGTGTTAAAGCCCTGCAGCATTAGCACCTCACAAGGGTGAGTGAATCAGGAGGGAGGTTAATCACAGCCTCAAGAAAAAAAACACATTTTCTGTTCCTTAATTTATGTTGAAACTGCAGTGATATGAAACTTTCAATTTTTCAACAAAAAAAGTTCACTGATGAAACTCATCTGTCTTTTTCAACGTGACTGCCTAGAGCTTTCAGGGTTGCCTGTAACAGCTGAAGAATGTGAACACTCTCAGTCATGACTTCTGAAGCCGAAACTTTTGCTTGGAAGAATCAAGAAAAATACTGAAAATAAGAGCAGTCCTACCTTAGGGAAGTGCTACTATTGGCTGTAGTTTCCACACCAGTGCTAGTCTCAGACATCAGATCAGGGAGGGGGAAGTTTTCTGTAAGAAGAGGATGTAATGAATAAAATTTACATGCCACAGTTTTGGAGTTTGGTCAAAACCAGACAGTCCTCAAGCATTTATACCATGGATGTTCTTGCACTGCTGGTGATGCAAAGTCTGTGTTTGCTTTTAAGCTTGAGATTCATGGTGTCTGGACACACCTTAACCATCCTAAACCCAGTGTATTAGGTAACACATGTCCCAGACTCTCAATTTTCACAAACCCAAAGTCTCAAGAGCAAAAGCAGGAAGGAGGTGAAGTACTTCAGTCCCAAAAAGAGCTTTCTAACTATTACTCAACAGCATCTTTACTTAACTGCAAGAAATCACCCCCAACAATGCTGGTCATCTCAAATGATACTATCCCTCACATCCACAGTTCTCTTGAGCCCTGCTCCAACAAACATATTATTCCTCAAATCCAAGCTCTGTGGATCCTCACCACAGCCTACAACTCCACTGCCATGCACCTGGTGAGTGCATAATGAGGGTGCAGGAGAAAGCAGGAAGAGCTGGGACAGCTGGAAGAGGATGTGGCAGTTCCATACACTTGTTTAGGGGCAAGAACTGAGAGATGTTGAGAGTTACTCCCAAAAGCACTTGTGGGAAACTGTTCTTTTCTTCCCCACATCAGTCTAAACAAAAGGTCTTTTCAGCCAGCAAAGGCCTCTTCTGATCATTCCCTGCTCAGGGACTAAACCAGACTTGCTTCTCAAGGACAACCGAACCCAAAACAACAGATGTGGTGCAGGACAGAAGGATGGGCCACAAGCCATCCTGTGCCCCTGGCAGTCACCCCCTAACTTGGGGCTCAGGGACGCTCCTTGGCTCTGGGCAGTGACACTGCCTGGGCAGGTGGGTCCCGGGGGTCTCAGAGGCGGCGAGTGCAGCAGGTGGGCCCTTCCCTCCTCCCTGAGGCCCGTTTGGACGCTTTCTGCGTGGGACACCCCCTGCTGCGGGCACTGGTGCTGGGACCTGCCTGCCCTTGCCCCTCGTCTCTTCTTGAGACTCCGACACCAGGGGCTGCACCTGCCGTCCTGCCTGGCCAGAAGGGGCCACCAACCAACCTGCCCTGGGAACAAGGAGGGTGACACCACCACACACACACACACTCCTCTTCTCATACCCACACACACAGCTCAACCTCCTCCCTCCCCCCTTTGGTCCTTAACCCTCTCCCTTAAAAGCACAGGACCTTTTGCATTGCCTCCCTAAAGGACACCTTCTTACTGTATATATCCCTGGCAGCCATTCACATTTGCATCTTCCCTAAACATCACCATTCAGTTTGTGTTAACACTTAATAAACCAATTAGTTTGTGGAGTAAACCTTGATTTTAGAGGCAGTTTCTGAGCATGGGGGTGGTGCTTCCTAACTATGGCCCCGCAGTGGCCGGTCCTCCGTGAGAGGCAGCGCCACGTGTGACCCTCGGGCTCATCCACAAACCCCTCCACATCGGGAGGGGCAGTTGCAAAAGCACCTGAAGCCAGGAGCCCCCCAGTACCAGCTCATGACAGAGATGTTCAGACAGCAGGATAGTGCCAACACCTCTGCCAGTGGAAAGAGTGCAAGGCCCAAAAGCACCTTTGCCATCAGAGCTGGGATGCTGAGAGTACACAAAAGCTGGAGAGCATGGAGGACCCCAGAAGTACTTTAGATGGAGCAAGAGGGAGGGTAGGCAGCTGGCACAGGGGGGACAGCCTAGACTACAAAGTGACAGCTTTTCCACGGGCCAGATTCAAAGATGTACCAGAAGCAGAAGGCAAAGCCTCTGGGCTGGGAGCCACCCTGAAGAGGCCTCCTCCCGCCAAATCCAACTGCCACACTTACTGAGGCTCACAAACTCATTTCTTCAGATTAAGGCTCAGAGCTTTGGACAATTCCTACAGCTGCTGAAAGAAGCAGCCAAGCAGAAAGATGCTCGTGCAGCAGTTGCTGCCTCTGCAGTGAGCTGGCTTTAGCTGCCACCTGAGGAAGAAGTGGGTCAGGAACACCAGCTCAGGAACTGAGGCAGCTGAGGGACTCCAGGAACTAAGGGATTGGTTCAATCAATACCCTCAATACCCTCTGGGCCCATGTCTGGATAAGGAAATGATGCTGCAGAACTTGATGTCAGCCTCCTGATCCCAGCAAAGCTATGGGGGGTGTGCTGAGGACAAGGTGGTCTTCTTGAGAATTTACACCTACACTTTATATGAAGCTTCATCTTGATCACTCCCATTCCTGTGGTTACTTTCTCTGGGAGAAGCTAAGGGCTTAATTAAGGTCCAGCCCCTAGTACTAGACTGGGAACCACAATTAGAGACCAAAAATAGAACACAGTATCTCTTAATGGCCAGTGTTACAGACTCTGCTGGGCTAGGCCAGTACAGAGAGGCTCTGGTTTAGCACTAATGCCAGGTCATGGCTTAGAACCAGCACACAAGAAGCTTTTGGGGTTTAAAGGACTCCTCAAGCCTAGCAGACAGCTGCTCACCATTGTCCATGCCATGGGTGTAACAAGATGGACAAAGCTGGGTCTCCTACAGGTCAGCCAGTACCCAGAGCCCAAGGGGAAACACCAAACTAAGAGCATGAAGTTGCACGAGGAGCAGGACCCTGCCTGAACAAAGGTGCAGAAGGGATGTGGGACTGCACAGTGTGGGACACAAGCACAGAATAAATGAGCCCTCCCACAACAGAGAGAACATATCAGAGAATGCTTTAGAATCTTAGAAGTGGCAGTTATAGACACTAATAAGGATTTAGCATTTTATAGAGGAACGGAATTGACTTTTTCCTCTGGTTCCTGCCCGTTGTTACTTTAGCAAACAATAAAAACTTCTACACACCTATATCATCATAACGTTCCACCCAGACCACGTACACTTTGGTTTCAGGTCCCATCGGTGGAATGGTCCGGCCCTGAGGCACCCTCTTGGATCTGGAAGTAGGACTGAGCTGTTTTGAACACAAGGGAAGAGTAGCATTTGCAAACATCCCGAGCCCAGTGGTGCAGCCAGAAAGCATTCCCACATTTGCTCCTTAGTCTTTCAGACCTCAGACAGGTCCAACCTCTGCCAGCTATTGAGATGGGGGAGGCACTGCCCACCCAGGAATGGTAACCTGGGTCTCTGCAATACTCATACTCAACATTAATTATATATTCACTATTAAAAAACTGGTTCAAGTTTTTCTTAATGCTCTTGAAGATCTCAAATCAGTAACTACATATACATTTGGAAGATCATTCTATACAAGAGCAGCTGTAAATCCTTTGCTAACTTGCAGCAGTTCCTGGTTTTCTGCTGTGCTCCCAGACCAAAGCAACTTCTCATCTGACACTTCAGACACAACCACATTAATCTGGTTAGGTATAAAGTGTCCATGTCTATCCATCCTAAATTTCCAAGCATGGATTTGAGTCTGAACTACATTGTAAATGCTCTATATACTTTTCCTGTTTGTGTCAAGTTCTCACCAGGCAGAGCATTACTATTTATTGTGTTTAAGGTTTATATTTCATTTAATGGATTATTGCTGGTGCAAATTCTGGCAGGACCAAAGTGGATGCTAAAGATTTATGGCTTGGAACAAGTAGCTCCAAATGCTAAGAAACCAAGTCACATACTTTCAAAAATGCTGTATCATTGCCCATGAGCTTCTTGAAAAAAAAAAAAAAAAGTGTATATCTATATATCTATCTGAATGCCATTTTCCAATGCAAGTTTTGCCTTACCCGCTGGGAGGCATTAAGATTGTCTGTATGATTGGGGAACAGTTCCAGTGTCAGAGACTGCTGCTTCAATATTCCTGGCAGCAGATCCATGTTGGAGTCACTTTCTTGGTCAGAGACATTGCTTTCCAGTGAATCAGCTATAAGCCAGAAGAAAGGTCGGGTTATTTTTTCTTCTGCCAAAAACCTCAAGCTACCATATGTAAGATCTTCAAACTAAAAAGGTTGTTAAGTTTTCAAAACTAAACACATTTACCATCAAGTCAATACAGCACTGAAAAGCAGGTAGAGGATTCAGCATTGGACAACTGCCAGTTACTCCAGAAACAGACAGCAATTAAAACACTCCCTACAGATTTAGGAATGTCCCATCCATTTCCTATGGAATAGTCTCCTCCTTCCCACAGCTACCATCTCCTCATAGCCCTTTTATTCCAGGGAACTTTAGCACACGGTTTTAGCGTGCAAAAAGATGTCATGAGGGCTGTTGATCATCTGCACAGCAGTTGTGTCCATGCTCCTCCATGTGCTGCAGGAGCATGTCATCAAGTCAGGAGATAAAAAGAAACATCCCCAGTTGGTGACAAACCAGACACATCCAACCTAACACACCTGGGGCAAGAGCAACACTTGTGGTGCAACACACTGCACTGGTGTGCAAACCTGGGCAGATACTGAGGCTTAGACTGAGAAAAAGGGGCACAGAACAGACAATGCTTCAGGAGGAGTCAAGGATTAGGATGTTGTAGCTTAAACATCAGTAGCTTTCTGACTAGGATCTTGCCAGGCACACTACTGGTTATTTAGTTTCTTCAGGTTCTACTTCTGAAAAAGCTCTCTAACAAAATGTTGTTTTGGAAACAGCATGTGCAAAGTGATCTTACTTAGGGACTCCACTGGTGATGGGACAACAAAAGCAATTTCTGTCAAGGCATCAGCATAGTACAGCACCTTCTTCTGCCCATTGAAGATACTTGCCCCAACATCTTCTGAAATAATTAGATCATCTGAAATGGACATAAAAGGAAAGTTTAGTTAAAAGGAAGCTCCATCTCTTTGTACACTGCCTCAGAACACCTTCAAACACAAGGTTCAATCAATGAGAAGAAATCACACAGATCTTATTTCAAAATGAGAAGACTTCGAATCCCATGGCTAACAACCACTGTCACATAATTTTAAAAATTATTTTTCATTTCATTTTTTATCCAAGCAGGTTTGGAAGTCTCCAGAGAAGGAAACTCAACAACCTTTCCAGGCAGCCTGTCCAGGGCTCTGTCACCCTCATAGGAAAGAAGCTTTTTCCTCATGTTGAGGTGGAACTTCCTGTGTTCCAGGTTGTGCCCATTGTCCTTGTCCTGTCTGGCTCCATTCTCCTTAAACCCACACTTTATGTATTTATAGATATTGATAAGGCCTCCCCTCAGCCTTCTCCTCTCCAGGCTGAACAGTCCCAGTTCTCTCAGCCTTTCCTCATAACAGAGATGCTCCAATCCCCCAATCATCTTTGCTGCACTCCACTGGACTCCTCTCCAGCTGTTCCCTGTTTCTCTTGAACTAGAGAGCTCAGAATTGGACACAGTTCTCCAGATGTGGCCTCACCAGGGCAGAACAGGGGAAGCATGACCTACCTCAACCTGCTGACCACACTCTTGCTAATGCAACTCACGATACCATTGGCCATCCTGGCCATTGCTGGCTCAACTTGTTGTCTACCAGGACTCCAAGATCCTTCTCCTCAGGGCTGCTTTCCACCAGGTCATCCCCCACCCTGTACTGATGCATGGGGTTGTTCCCCCCCAGGTGCAGGACCTCACACTTGTCCTCCTTGAATCTCATCAGGTTCCTCCCTGCCCAACTCTCCATCCTGTCCAGGTCGCACTGGATGGCAGCACAGCCCTCTGGTGTGTCAGCCACCCCTCCCATGTTTGTAGCATCAGTGAACCTGCTGAGGAGACACCCTGGACCCTTGTCTAGTCCATTGATTAATTCATTGAACAAGACAGGACCCAGAGAGCAACTACTGGTTACAGGCCTCCAACTCAACCCCACACCACTGATCACAACCCTCTGAGTTCTGCCACTCAAACAGCTCCCAGTTTACAGCTCTCAGGGAGCAGCACCACAACCCAGACCCAACTGTTTAAGAACTTCTTTGCTTTTGGGGGTGTTCAGGGAAACAAAACCAAAGCATATGCCTGTGAATTTATTTTAATCATGTCTCACTGGAAGCTGCTCTAAACTCCTGAATGTGTTTTTTACCACAAAGAGAAAGCATGTTTAGCAAAATAAGGAGACTTAGTCATAGCAAAGATTGGAGAAGAAAACAAAGCAAGCAATCTTCACAATTTGGTTCAAGTCTACTTTGCCATTTCAGCTTTTTAGCCATTGCTTGCTAAAAGTGTGACTCCACTCATGGATTTTTCCAACAGAATCACCAAGGTTGGAGAAGACCTCTAAGATCACCAAGTCTAATCATCTACCCAGGGCAGGAAAAAAACAAAACCAAGACCAAAACAACCCACAAAACCACAACTACACCCCACAAAACCAACACCACCACACAATCCCAAAAAACCCACTGTGCCACTACAGTATGTACCCTCAGAATTAGCCCATCCTTCTTCCCAATCCCTGAATCCTTTTTCAGCTCCTTCTTCCCCCACTTTGTTGAACTAATTCAACTCTTCAGTGGTCTGTGATCTAATCCAAATGGCTGAAAAGCACCCAAGTTAAAAAGGTCACATCTAAACAGGTGGCCTCACTAAGGCAGGGCAGCCATACTGCCCAGGGAAGCCCCCAAGTACAGCAGAGTCTGACCCTGTGCTCAGAGGACAATTAAACCAAGTCCATTTTCCACCTCTCCTGACTTGTTCAGAGAGAGACATGCTTCTGTTCTCTTAACCTCTCCCCAACATTTCAAGCCTTCTATCATTTCTAGTTTGTTCTACAAATGGAGAGGAGCTTGGGGCCACAGTGACCAGTGAAGAGCATTCCAACCACGTGCACCTGATGCAAACACCAGACCAAAGATGCTGAACATGCTGAACCAGCCTTTGTGTGGCCCACAGAGAAGGCTGAGGCTCTGAAGATCTCCAAGAAACATCTGTCCCTTGGAGCAGTGACCATCAACCACAATGGAGACAACCCAGACAGTATCAGAACCTCAGGTAATCCAATTATGTTATTCTTCAAGGCAGAAACTAATCCAACTTCCCAGTTAGGGCCCTGGGACAGCAATTCACTACCTGAGCATCATTTTGGCTGACAGAATGGGGAGAGGGTGGCATGTGACAAGGCCAGAGAAGGAGTTGCTGTAGTGGAAAAAAGCAGAGTAAATTAAGCAGGACAGGAGAAGAGCTGAGTGTGGGCTTCAACCCCCCTGACCTACAAACAGTAGCTTGTTTTCATTACTTCCTGCTAAGTATGAGTACAAGGTTAACTTGATAGTCAACGTCTCATTTTAATCTACTTTCAGAACATAAAAATCACACAATATTTCATGTCTATTTACCAAAATGCAGCACAATCTGTATCCATTTTCACCTGAGTTAAAGACTCATCAAGTCTGCTAAAGATATAGCCCAGAGGCATTTCTTTGCTGAGGCTGCTTCCTCCAAAAACACTCACAGACACGAGTTTTGCTCATTCTGACTTTAAGCTTAATCTAGTATTTACAGATTCCTTTTAGTAAGCATGAACATTTATAAAAACAATAAAAATACAAGTGCTCAGACAGGTATCCAGAGCAAGAAATTTTAATTAATTGTCTCCTAAAGAGCCTAAACAATTTAATTTAGTATTACACTCTTTACTACATCTTACCTTGCTCGGGTCCCTCTTCATCACTGCAGCTGTTGATTGACCAGCTCGTTGAGACATGGCCAGTCCAGCCAGGGTGCTTCCCCACATCAACAGACCAGCCAAGAGACAGCAAGAACTCCAGGAAGTGTGGCTGAACAATTCTGGAAGACTCCATGTTCTTCAGGATCTGAAACAATCAGCAGTACCATGCTAGGTACAGGAGACTCCAGGAAGGAGCTCTCTTCCTTTCCAGTTTTTTATTTAAAATTTTATGCCACCAACGTGGCTTTGCCCAAATACAGTGATTCAGAGAGCCTGGGACTCCAGACTTGGACATGGACACAACTCCCTGCTGCCCAGCATCCTCCCATCCTGCTTGGCCATGTCCTAGTCAACCAACTTGTCTTTCTGCCATCATCACCAAGACCTGTAAATCAGTTACTCAAACTGCTAAAAATGGCAATTTTAAGATTTATCACTCATCAGGGATAAATTACAGAACTGTTCAGCACAGAATCTGCATTAGCATCAAATGTAACGTAAGAATTTTCTGGACAATTTTCATGACTGAGGTGAAATTTTCAGAGAAAGACATTTTATCACTACTCATCTGTGCATGACACACTGATTTAGAAGGCAGAGGTCACTGCATGCTGAGTTATGAAACAGATTTTGGAAATTAACTTTCAGGAGGATTGAGCCCCTACTTCAATCAAATGTCACACTATACTGTTCACTTGAAACCCAAAATCCTACTTGTTATAAAAATCTGGGATGTTTCTACACCCAAAGGCAACTTTTATGTCGTTGTGACCAAGTGAAAATCGAAACCTTCACCAAACAGCAGACAGGGAGACACGAATGGTTTGTGATTTGGTGTAGCAGAACCACTGGGATTTGTGGGAGAGTCACCACTGCACACACACCCATCCATCCTTCCTGGGCCAACTGACAATTTGTTTTGGGGCAAAAGTGTCTCTGATTTTGGTTTGTGTGGGAGCAATACACTGGGACATGGGCTCCAGCAGAGCAGAAACTGCAGGGACAGGGATGGGCACTGGAAGGAAAGATTCCAGACAGAAGGTTCCTCATATCCACACGGTCTTGGCACACCATCCTGATGCCTCATACAATATTCAGCAGACACACAGCACTGAAATACTCCTACTGTTCTCATTACTGAGCACACTGAAATCCTAGCCATGTTTCAGAATGAATAAAGTACAGTTCAGAAGACAATTCCAAAAACCAGGCAAGCTCAGGCTTTGGACAACTGTATGTTTCTGTATATGAACGCACTGCAAAACATGATTTGCAGTAAAGCAAGGACAAGGGGGTATTTTCAAAGAATATCTAATGATGTGAAGTACAGAGATGTAAAGTGTGCTGCAGTTCCATTACTCTGTATAAATAACTGCCACGAGACCCTTCACAGCTGGAAAAGCCTACTTACCAGCACAGAAAAATATTTGGGCCTAATGCAACACCCAGCAGGCTAGATGTCACTCATCTGGGCTGTGCAGTATCAAACACAGCTGGCTCCACCCATTGTGACAGGAGAGTGGTGACCTCTCAGAACGAAGTTCTGAGCCCAAGTGGCATCAGCTCAGATAGAGATGGCTGAGCAGGACAGGGCAGCCAGTCCTGCTCAAAACACAAATCATGTCACAACGTGGCTTTCATCTCCTCCTCTCTACATCACTAACACTGAAAGTGGAACAGGACAGAACACAGTGACAGCTCGTACCGAAGATGTGTGGTATCTCATTGTGGGTATCTCACTCAGCTCAGGTCTGAGACCTGTGTGTTAACTTGACCACCACTGCGACTCTGCATCACCCAGAAGGCTGAGGGACCACAGCAAGATGTCTGGGGATCTTGAAGCAGGAGTGGCATCTTTATACAGCATCTAAACATGCCTAGAATCTCTCAAATACAAGATTTTCTTAAGCCTACATGGCAAAAGCCATGCTATTGGGGTTTACAAAGGCCAGCAACCTCTCCTCTAACACCACAAGAGCACACAAGCACCCTGCGAGCTCAGCACGCTGCAGCTGGAAGGCAAACCCTGACTCTGGAGATGGAAAGACTGGTGGCTACTCTGAACTTCAATTTGAAAACCCCCAAACAGCAAGATCCTGGTTTCAAGAACGAGTGTATTCCACACAGAAGAAGAAGGTTCTGTCAACTGCACACTCACAGTAACACCAGGAGACGGCACAAGAGCTTATTCTGGAATAATAATAATAATAATAATAATACTTCTGCTCTTCACTGTGAGAATTATGAATGGAAAGAGGGGCAGGTACTACAGAACCATCTCTTTCTAATGAGCCCATCAACATCTTTCAGTGAGTTTCTGGGTCAGTCTAAAGAACTCAGACTTTAGATTGCTCAAATTCACCTGATTAACTTAATTGCATTTGAATGTAAATAGTACAATGTAAAGACTTAGAAAGTAAGAATACTTTCTTACTTGCAGAACGCTCTTCTTTCCTTTAACATGTGTTTAACATTAGACTCAAACCAAACTACCTGGACATTGCACATTGCTGGAATTATCTGCAACCTTCCCTACAAGCTGAGCCAACAAATCCAAAATGCATTTCTGATAGGAATCTCTGAACTCTACAAATAAGGACAACAAGGACAGAACAGATAAACATACTATTAGTATTTTAACTATATATATTACATATCACATTGAAAAATTTAAAAGATTAATGATAGAATCATAGAATGCCAGGTTGGAAGGGAACTCAAGGAACATCCAGTGCAACCTTTCTAGGCAGGAACAATTTAGATGAAATGATGTCACAACAATCCTAAATGCGGGGAATGTCAATCAACCTACAGATGAAGAGCACACAGTGACTTATTACAGCTCACACTGCAAACACACAAAGCTCCAGACCCTGGTTCTGACACTCTAGTCAGTAGCAGTGATTATTTACTTGAGGAAACATCAAAATAGGTTAGTTGGCACTTTCACTTACCTCCTGGCTTGTTTTCTGGCCTGCCTTCATGTAGAAAATGAAAACAGTATCAAAAGGACGACACGGCAGTAAATCCAAGTAGCCAAGGTCATCAAAAAACCCAGGAAGAGCAGAGTCAAGTGCAATCAGGTGAGGAGGTAGACGACTGTTAGCAGGTTCCTGTCCAACAGACAAGAGTTCAACAGCTTAAAAAAACATCTTTCCTAACTGAAAAGGTTTTCTAGCTTCAATAATAATCCATTAAAATCTAAAAAGACAATTTCCCTTTTATCCCAAGAGCAAAATGATGCACGAATTCCTGATGCAACATAATCCTGTTACTCTAAATGAGAACAGCAAGTAGAATAGTTTGACAATTTGTTGCATTCTACTCCCCTCATTACATAAAAATGGGATTTTGCCAGCAAAAAGGACCTAACATTTTGCTCAAAAAGAGCAATAGCTACCACAACAAAAGCAGCTGGTGCTTTCAAAATATCACAGCTATACAGAGTCACATGCAGTTTCAAATGTATTAACTTCTATACCAATAGCATGCAAAATACTCAGCACTTTTAAACATAATTTTTGCAAAAGCTTGATTGCTTACTTCTGTGGATGTTTTTTCTGAAATAAAGGAAATGCAAAAAATAAGAGGGCAAATTCACAGCTAAGAGGCAGATTTTCAAATTAAGAACACCGATCATAGAATCAGAACTATTCAGGTTGGAAAAGCCTCTTGTGATCACTGAGTCCAACCATCATCCCTACTCTACAAAGTTCTCCCCTAAACCATCTCCACCAAGACCACATCGAAACAACCATTAAATGCACCCAGGGATGGTGACTCCACCACCTCCCTGGGCAGCCTGTTCCAGGGTCTGACCACTCTTTTTGGGAAAAAGTTTCTCCTAATGTCCAGTCTGAACCTGCCCTGGTACAGCTTGAAGCCCTTCCCTCTTGTTCTGTCACTAATGACCTGTGAGAAGAGACCACTGATGAGGTCTCCCTTCAGCCTCCTCTTCCTCAGACTAAACATTCCCAGCTCCTTCAAGCATTCTCCTCTATAACCTGTTGTTATTTTAACATTAAAAAGCAAACTCTGCAATCTGTATGTACAGAAAAGTGTCTGTCTACGATCAAACCACTTCAGCACAATCATCTCTGGAGCAGAACTTCTAAGGCAGTCACACTTCAGAACCTCTTCAAGCACCACTCCAAAACCTAATTCAAAGCTGAGGGAATCATCTCAAGTCTGAACATGTGATTCTGATAGATAAGGAACCCCCTGCAAAAGTGCCACCTCAGCCATCTATTCAGAGCATGCTCAACTGAAAGGCCTTTCACAGCTCTGCTCTCCATCTTGGGGGCCTGGAAACCAGCACCTCATTTGATCAGGCTGCAAAGCCTGACGGCAGCTGGAATTACAAGATTTTTCATTAACTCAACTTAGTTTTGTTTTTTTGCCAAGCCAGACCATATGGGTACTGGGGGAATCTGTACAACACCAAGAAGTATCAGATCACCTTCAATGCCTCTAGAGACAGAAACCCAAAGTGGGAGAGGAACAGGCGTGCTGTCTGGAACTCCTGTGCCGGCGGCGGGGGCTTGCACTCCGTGATCGGATCAGGAAAGCTCTTCTTCCTCCACTCCTCTTCACTTTTCTGATCTATGGAAGTCTCAAAAATAATTTGCTGGGCCATGCCATTCCTCAGCTTCTCATGTCGCTCCTCCAGCTGGAAAACATTATGTGAAATGAGGATTCCACCAAGATCAGTAAGAGCCGCTGAGCAAACAGTTCTCTCGTTTAGGAAAGCTGGAAGCCCCAGATGGAGCAGCAGCTGCTGCTGCAGCACCTGGAGGTTCACTAAAACACTATCAACAGGACACTGCAATGCTACAAAGTGAACGTCTAAAGACCCTGTGCTTCCCCTTTCTAAGTGAACAGGAACTAACACACACTTGGCACTGTGAACTTCACATACTTTTAAGACACACACCCCGTCCTCCCCCAGGTGGTCTCAAAAATGCCCTTTTTAGTTCCCCAGAAGCAGCAAAACAATAGAAGGCATTGCTTCCTAGTAATACCAGGATCCTGGGCTCTGTAACAAATCATGCTGAGCAGAGCCTCCCCAAACACCCAGCCAAGGCAGTGTCACCTTCCTGGAGAAGCACATGGAATTGGTGAGTTAGCAAAGCTGTTCTAGCTGTTGCTGAGCAGTGCTACACAGCACCAAGGCCCTTCCTGCCTCATTCCACCAGTGAGGAGACTCGGGGTGCACAAGCTGGAGGGAACCAAGCTGGGCCAGCTGACCCCAACTGGCCTGAGGGATATTGCATGTAAAGCTGGGGAAGAAGGAAGGAGGATGTTCAGAGCAATGCTGTTTGTCTTCCCACATGGAGCTGAAGCCCAGCTTCCCTAGGGATGGCTGCATACCTGCCTGCCCTGGAGGCTGGGAATGGATTCCTTGTTTTGCTCATGCAGGCAGCTCTTACTTGACCTACTGAACTGTCTTTATCTCAACACATGAATTGCCTCACTTCTACCCTTCCAGTTCTCCCTCCACTCCCCAGGGGCTGCATGGGGCTGAGCTGCCAGTTGGGCTGAAACATCACATTCCATTAACATGAAATTAGTCCAGAGTAAAGCTATTTACAGTAAGACATTACTGTTTGATTCCTGAGCAGACAAGAAAACCAAGAACAAAATTAAGCCAGAGACTAAGAGTTACTCACCTCCTCATTCACAATTTCGTGCAAATCAGGAATGCTCAAGTCAGCTTTCACAAATGGGATCTTGTCCACCTCTTCAGGAAAGGGGCGATGCTTCACACTGTATTTCAAACCAACATCATTTTTAGGAGCTGGTCGAGGTTCTGGTACAAAAGTCTGATAAAAAAGGGGGATAGTATTTACATTGAAGGCACTGTACCACTAGACAATACTACACTGCAAGAGAAGGAAAACCTTCCTCCCTCCTGACCACCAGAAGTACACCAATCTATTAGTGAGAGGTATCATTAAAAACATTCAGTACGTACTTTAAACTAATAAGACTTTTACTAAAAATGTGGCTTTCCTGTAGGGTCCTCTTCAGATACTAGAAGAATCCCAATAAAAATGCCAAGCTTACGTGGCAACACCTTTACAGTCCATTCTAGCTGTACTGAGCAAAATCTGTCCCTGTTTGAGAAGCCTCCACTTTAACCCTGCTGACTAGGATGGGCACAGAAATTCAGTCTGGGAAGTTCTGGGAGAGGACAGCAGCAATGCTGCAGGTCAGGAGTGAGATGCACTGCCAGGGTATCAGAAGGGCTTGCATGAGGTGTGGCAACACAACCTCGACACTGTTACTGCATTATATTCTAAATGTTAGTATGGAATTCAAAACTTGAAGTTACCACCAAAAGTAACATAAGATCTAGGTGCATGTTTGCAGGTGCATAAGGTCCAAGCAAGACCTTTAATTACATCTTGAGTGCTGCTTTATGAATGTATTTACTATCAATTATGCCTCAAATGGGTAAAACTGTTGACACTGAAGTCACAGTGCTTTTATGTTGGGAAGGTTCCTTTAAAACTGGACAGGAGCTCAGCAGCCAGGTGGGGGAGGCCCACACTTGGAATGACACCATTTAGCAATGGGCTCAGCTTCAGCCAGAGCACGGCTCCAAAGGCACCCCCTGAAGCATCTTCCCAAAGGCTGCCCTGCAGGGACCAGTCACCTAAATGTGAACATGACAGTTGAGACTGACAGGCCCTCATTTCAGCTACGTTATTATTTTCTTTGTTTTACTGAAGGGCATGTGAAGAGTTTGAAAATTTGGAGAAGTTCACAAACAGATGGAAATTGTAGTAATAGATGGACCTGCTCCATGAGCCAATTGCAATAAGAAATTTTACTGTCAAATGAGATTGGGGTATTTCTCCTCCTCTATTCCTCTCCAGAGCCATTTCAGATTTCATCTAGATTTTTATTTCTTTCACAGCAGGTTTACAGCCATCTTTGCAACACTGGGCTTTGCAGCTTGAATAGTTGTTCTCTCTGCAGCATCTCAATCTACACCTCCAGACTTTGCTCCCTCTGCTGGAAGGGCCTTGCCTGACGTCCTAAAATCAGCACCAACTCTCGTGCCTCCACACTAAATACACTGTCCATTGCCCCAGCCCCTCAGAAGATGCTTTCAGGAAAAAAAAAATAAAAAAAATCCCCTTCCCTTAAACAAGTCTAGAAGGCAACAGCACTTTCACAGCCTATATTTAATATTAATGTCATAAAGAGTCACCAGAGATGTGTCACATTACCTACAGCTAAAGGCCCCATGTCTCAGCCTTAATGTATAACCACCAGCTCTGTGGGGCTGTCTCACATTAGTGGAATTTTCTGCTGAACATCTCTAAGTTAAAGATTTCTTTATGGGCTTTGATAGAGACCTTTTGATTTGCTTTCGCTCCTCTTGGCAAAAGACAGAGCTGCTGGGCCCATGCAAATCTTCCAGATGTCCCACGGATCAAAACCGTGACAGAGGGGAAAGAG